ATCGTCTACTAGGCTTGACCACACTATAAACCCTGCTAATAGTCTGCCTGACTATTGGAGACGTTAGGTATATTTGGTATCTAAGTCTCTGTCCATGCTGTGGACTAGTACGTGTGAGAAAGCACACGTGGTTCTGAACGTTCTAGCAGGGAACGCTTCATAACATTTGGAAGAGGTTTTTCTATAGGTCAACCTGTTTAGGTTTAGAACCACTTACGAGAAGTGGGGTCTACTTGGACGCTACAGAAGAAACCAACTCCATCAAGTCCTCAAACAGGGGTATCCAATTCTAGAGAAACTAGGTGCACGTTGCGGCCTCTGCACCACTTGGAAAAACAGGGAGAACCACTCTGAAGTAGCTGTTGCGGCAGTACTTCGCCAGACAGGAGATTCTCGGAGAAGCGGAACCTGGGTACTTGTTGCGGCAAGGTACCTGCTGAAGGCAGTGTCAACTTGAGCCCCATCCTCACCGGAGGCGCTGGGTATACAGAAGACGCCGGTTAAGGGCCACCGAAAGAAGGCACCCACACCTTGCCGAGGCTGGTTTTCAATCGAGGAAACGCAGATAGGAAGGACGATTGGTTATAGGACACCAAGCAGAGGAAATCAAAAGCCAGAACGACCAAGCGCTCAAACAGGAGTAGGCAGGAGTTCGACGTGACTAGCTGGGCACGTTAAAAAGCGAGCAGTGACTAGCTGAGCACTTTAAAAAGTGAGCACAGGATATCCGAGGTCGAGAAAAGAAGACTAGGACTCCGACTGGTTGACGTTACCAGGCAAATCAAAAGGCGTACAAGATTGGTTAAGGGCCACCAAAGATCAAAAAGGCAGGAGTGCGGAGTTTTTGTTACAGGAACGAACTCAAGCACTAGCGATTACCCGTGTGGTAATCCAGAAGAGAAGCCCTCATCTGAGGCACACGTTGAAGACGTGCTAAAGCCCTTCCCAGGGAAGGCAATCAAGGAATCTTAGGACAAGACAAGATTCAAAACGACTACTTTCCGAGAACACGA